CAGACTTCATGTTTTTATCTTAAATTTGCTGCAGATTTTATTATATTTTGCGTCCTGCAGTAGTTTCTGTGCACACGTGTGTTTGTTTGTAGTTTGATTCCATAATTCAGGTCGACTCCGTGTGAAGTTTTGTGTTTTTTATCTTGAAGTTTATGAACAATGAGGCTGTTTCCTGACACGTGATTAAATCTGTCGCTATGACACGAGCAGAGTTGTGTTTGGTGATGCTTCCCGACTCCTCGCCGCCTCATTGCGACTCTTGCGGCGGCTCCAGATGTGGCGACGCCGGCCTCCTCCAGACGTCGGTGCATTTTTAAAGCCGAAGCCGTGACACTAAAAGCTCCTCACAGCTGCGCCTCGGCTGCACTGAATCCATAATGTCCAACGTTTGTTTGTGTTCGTGCACGCAGAGGCCGATGCAGCTCAGACGGGCAGGACGGAACCAGGTCAGGTTCTGAAGCTGCAATGCACAGATGTTCCCTGAATGCATCGCGTTCAGACTTTAAATAGATGTTAAAAAATTCCCTAAACGCCTCACGAACATCAGGAAGTGCTGCAATTTCATGATGTTCCCTAAACGTCTCGCGTGTATTAGGAGATACTGCAATTTACAGATGTCCCCTAAATGCGTCACATACAGATGTTAGTAGATGCTACAAGAGATCAAAGTTCCCTGAACGCCTCACAAACATCAAGAACTGCTTCAGTTTAATGATGTTCCCTAAATGCCTCACTTCTATTACGAGTCAATACAATGTGCAGATGTTCCCTAAATGCATCCAAAAAAAAAACAAGAGCTGCTACAATTTAATGATGTTCCCTGAATGCATCATGTTCAAACTTTAAATAGATGTTAAAAAGGTTCCCTAAACACCTCATAAACATCAAGAGATGCTACAGTTTAATGATGTTCCCTAAACGTCTCGCGTGTGTCACTGTACGGTACACTTAACAGTTCCCTGAATGCATCATGTTTAGACTTTAAATAGATGCTGACACTTCCCTAAGTTCCCTAAACGTCTCACATCTATGACTAGACACCAGAATATACAGACTTCTCCTAAACGCCTCACAATCAGTGGCAGATGGTACGATTTACAGATGTTCCCTGAACACCTCACATGCATCAGTAGACACTAAAATTTACCAAAGTTCCCTAAACGTCCCGTAAACATCAGTTGATGCTTCAATTTACTGAAGTTCTCTGAACTCCTCATACACGTCAGTAGAAATACGGTTTACCAACGTTCTCTGTTCGCAGATGTCGACTCTAAAAACTCACCATCACGTTAAACACTAGAATGTACTGAAGTTCCCTAAACACTTCATCTGCATTGATGGACACTACAATTTCTGGTCCCCTGAACGCCTCACATGCATCTGCAATGCAACAACTGACTGATGGTCGAAACTGTGGTTTACGTGGTTCCCTAAACGTCTCACCTGCATCAGGAGGAGCTGCGGTTTACGTGGTTCCCTAAACGCCTCACCTGCGTCAGTAGAAGCTGCTGCGCTCAGAGAAGCTTCTAGTCTCCACTGAATATTATTTTAAATGGACTCAAATAAGTCGTTTTAATGTCAGATTTACCTGAAACCAGGTGAGTTCATCCACCTGCTCGACCCACAGATCTGCTAAAGATCATCGACATGTTCAGTCTGATCTTCGTCTTCAACCCTCAGCTGATATTTTAGAGACCAAACACACTCGCAGAGTTTTTTTGTTGTTGTTAAAAATGCAGAATGAAGAAAACACTGAGTTGATATTCCGTTCTGCCTTCCTAACCGTGTATAATATCCTGTGGCGTTGCATCCATATTCAAACGGGCGGCGTGCTGCTGAAGAACCAGATAAGTTTGTGTCTCGTATCGTTTCTCCACGCCGAGAGATCTGAGGCGGCGCTGAAACGAGAGCCGCGGCCGACACTCCAGAGGCTTTATCGAGTCGAGAACAGGGAGGGAACGCCGAGGATGGAAATTAAATCAAGCCGCCGAGGCTCTGCCATCAAAAATACATGCGTCTGAGCGCCGCTCCCTCGGCTCGGCCTCTTAAAAGTTTCCTCTCTTTGTTTCTCTTTAATGATTCGCTCGGTTCCCGCGAACCTCCACGTCGCCATCTGCTCGCGTCCGAACACGAGGACGGCGTCTTCAGCCTCATTAGATCGTCCAGAGGAGGAGTCCAGGACTTCCCTCCGCCGCCTGCTTTATTTTTATCAGCCAGGTTGGTGCATCGAAGCCTGAAATCCCGCTCTGACCTCAATCCCTGTTTGATTTCTGCAATCGACTGTGAATTAGCTGCGAACGCTGAGCGGTGGGAGGAACAGCTCCGGCGGGGGGCCGCGTTATCCTTCATTATCCTCACAGCCTTATTTAAGAATCTCTTTTTAAACAGGAAGCAGGTTCTCCTCCTTCATTTAAACGCTCGTGTTCAGGTGTGACGAGGATTAAAACAGAACGCTGAGCTCTGATTCCTGTCTTCTAATAACAGTCACGGGGAGTTTAAACCACCTCCGGTTAGAGACGTGCAGGACGGAGTCAGCGCAGATGTTCACGGTCCTCAGAGGAAGAACCACGCCGACCCTTCATCTCATGCAACCGTTAACGTTTCAGATCCGACCGCGTTTTGTCAGGAACCGTTACTGCTGTGAAACTTAGTGGTGTTCTCTAGTGTTCCCTAAACGCATCACAAAGATCAAGACATGCTACAATTTAATGATGTTCCCTAAACGCCTCACATCTATTACTAGACAATACAATATACAGACGCCCCCTAAACGCCTCACAGTCACTGGTAGATGACGTACAGATGTTCCCTAAACGCCTCACAATCATTAGTAGACGACGTACAGATGTTCCCTAAACGCCTCACAGTCATTGGTAGACGACGTACAGATGTTCCCTAAACGCCTCACAAAGACCAAGAGATGCTACAATTTAATGATGTTCCCTAAACGCCTCACATCTATTACTAGACAATCCAATATACAGACGTCCCCTAAACGCCTCACAATCATTGGTAGACGATGCACAGATGTTCCCTAAACACCTCACAATCATTGGTAGATGCTACGATGTACAGATGTTCCCTAAACGCCTCACAATCATTGGTAGATATTAGCAACAATGCTGGATATGAACCCACTAAAGTGTCAAAAATCTTGTTAATAACACACTTAAGTGCCAATAACCAGGATATTAACACAGAATTATATTAAAATGTCAAAAACAAAAAAAGGCTTTTAATTCACATAAGTGTCAGAAATCTGGAAAGTGACAAACAGAAGAATTAAAATGCTGAATGTACAACAGATATTTTAGTGTTTTTAGCTTATTTTGGGCAAAAAACTGTAGATCTATGTTGAATTTTTTAAAAATAAGACACGATTGTGATGAAATATCTCAATTTAAGCTTAAAATGTGTTAATTTTTCCAACAAAATGCGCGATGAGTTCAAAGACTGTACGGAAACGTGAGCATTCTTTCCTTCCTTCCTGATAAATGTGGTCATTTTTCATGTTTTCCATCCTGCTGGTGGTTTTTTTTTTTGGGTTCAGGTGAGTTTGAGCCTGATGGATGATGAAAACCTCTCTGGACGACGTGAGTCCGGCGGCGCCTTCGTCTTCACGAGCTGCTGCCGGAGTTCGTCCGAGGCGACGTTCCCCGCAGAATAAATTAGTGCAGCGTTCAAAGGCATGCAAACCGCTTCGCTTCACTTTATTCCACTTTATTTATTTAAAACCTCCGAGAACAAATCAATTTGAACGCCGACACGTCCGGGATCGGGGGGGAAGGAAAACGCTGCTTCAGTGGAACGTAGAAATGTAGGAATCAGGAATAAGACAAAATAAATAAATGAATAATTTAAAGTAAAAAAATAAAACGGCTTAAATCAAAATGTTGAGCAGTTAAAGCTCAGAGGAGTCACATTAATAATGTAGAAGGAATGAAAGTTTCTGATGTTATAAACACTGATGTGTTGAAATGATCTACAGGGACGGATCTGGAAATAATTCATCATCTGAAGAACAAAAATCTGGATATTAACAAGTTAAAGTACAAATAATCCAAATATTAACGCACAGAAGGATAAAAAATGTGGATGTCAGAGAGGAAAAGTATTTAAANTCGTATTGTTCAAATCGACCTTTTCTGCAGCGCTTTGGGCAGCATGTCGCCACACTGACGTCTGCAGCTTCACCTTGAACCCTTTGTTTCTGTAACCCGACCCGCGGTTCTGACCGCAGCCTCTAATGGATCCTGTGTGTGTCCAGGAGCCGGCGGCTGGTCTCCCATGGTGACGGACCAGGAGCCCTGGCTCCAGGTGGACCTCAGGGAGCAGATGGAGGTGACGGCGGTGGCCACGCAGGGCCGCCACGACAGCTGGGACTGGGTCAGCAGCTACCTGCTGCTCTACAGCGACACGGGCCGGGCCTGGAAGCAGTACCGGCAGGAGGACGGCGTCGGGGTGAGTCTGACGGGACTTTCTGTGGGTCTGAGTCGCCTCATAAGGTTTAGAAGTGAATCCAGCCGGAGTTTGTTTTGGTTTTCACTTTAAAAAATGTGACAGTTTGGGTCGTGTTGATCAGAACCACAGCGTATGTGAGCTGAGCTGTCAAGTACTGAAGCAGTCAGCAACCATTTAATAATATATTTATAGATTATTATTATATATTCATCACATATTGTGTCTGATTTTACTCATTTTATCTTCGTTGGCATTTTGTTTGTTTATGGATGTTTTTTTGTCCTATTTTTGTCATTTTGTGTCTCTTTTTGTTCATTTTTTGTCTCTTAAAGGTTTTTGTTTATTTTTTCAGAGTTTTTTGTGTCTTTTTTGCTTCTATTTGTTTCCATTTTTTGTCTTTGTGGTGATTTTTTTGGTTTCATTTTGGTCTTTTTGTGTCTCTTTATGTTTTTTGGTCTCGTTTTGTTCATCTTATGTCTATTATTGTTAAATTTTTCTTTCTCTTTATGGTTGTTTTAGTTCAGTTTTTGGGACATTTTGCGTCTGATATTTGTCATTTTATCTCGTTATGATCATTTTTTTGTCCTACTTTGTGTCTGATGTTAATTTTATATCCATTTGTTTTTGTTTTTGTTCCTTTTTGGTCGTCTTCTGTCTGATTTCAGTCATTTTTCTTCATTTTTCTTTTTGTGGTTGTTTTTTTTGTCTCATTTTGCGTCTCTTATTGCCAGTTTTTGCATCTTATTGCGGTTGTTTGTGCAGCAGCATGTGTGGCTGGTATTAACCAGGATAGAAGTTGGTGTAATTAGCCTGGAACCAGCCCAGGCCTCATGGGGAAGAGCTAGCTTAGCATAAAGGCTAGTAGCATCCGTACAGGAAGGAAACGTCGGCTTGTGGTTTAGCTTTGAACATTTTCGCAATTTGTCATGAAAAATTTAAAACAACAGAGAAATCTGCGTAGAAACGTTAGAAGAACGTGCATTTGAACCGATCAGGAGGATCTCTGTGTGAATGTGGGTTTTGTGCTTCAGATCAGGAGCTCTGACATCCAGAACCACGTTCAGGCTCCGTCGTCTCTCCGTCGTCTCTCCGTCGTCTCTCCGTCGTCTCTCCATCGTCGGCGCTGCAGGTCAGCGTCAGATCGCATCCCGTCACCTCGCCGACACGTCGGAGGTGTCGGAGGTGTCATCGCAGATATGACTCCACTTCCTCCTCCGCCGCCGCCCCGCGCAGCGTCGCTACACGTTACGGCAGAAACGTGCGATAATCCCGTCGAAGGAAATCGCCTCCTGTTGGCACGTGCCATTAATTCTTTATTGTGTTTGGCCCAGTTATGTCAAAGGCTGCCGACGAGATGCTCAGTCGTGTTTCGGAGTGTTTTCAGTCCAATTAGCAGAGTGTGCTGTTGCCCACTGGCGTGTCACCGCTGCTAACGGAGCTTTTTTTTCATTGTGTTGAAATTAAAAGAGCACAAAGATGTGAGGGTTGAATAATACGTCGACTTCTGTTGTTCTGAATTATTTATCTTCCTTCGCCTATTTAAAAATGGATCATCTAAAATAACACCGGAGGGGGAAGGAGGAGGAGGAGGAAGAAGAAGAAGAAGAAGAAGATTTCTGCAGATGTTTTTAACGAATCTTGTGAAATCTAATTAACAGCTGCCAATGGGTTTGAAAAAGCGCGTTGTCTTAAAAAACAACAACAAAAAAACTCCAAAATTACACTTTTATCAGCCAGAACCTGTCGGACCGTCGACTCTCTGACAGTCTGTACGGTTCTATCAGGTAAAATAATTCAAAATGTGCCAAAAATAAACCTTCTGCTTTCACTAGATCTTAAAAAAAAAACTAATATTTCTGCGTTTTTTTAGCCCAACTGAAAATCCGACAGTCAGGTTTAAAATGGTTGTGAAAATAGAAATAGTTCAACATCTGTGAAGCCTTTTAAGTTTTATAAAATAAATAATGAAAGAATTG